CATCTGCATTGGACCGACTATTAGACTGGATTAAACTTGTATGAAATTGCAGCTCTTTCGAAAACTTTACTATGTAATCGTGTAGAAATTTTAATTTAATTTGCGACTATATAAAATAGTTTTATCTTCGATTTCGAAGTTTTGGGTTAGTTTTGATAGATTAGTCGGTAACTTACCTCGCTTTTTGTGGTTGGATACGCATTAAACTGTTTAATATTCCAAGTTGACTGCACGGAATGGCTCCGCTTTCGGTTCGGTCCCCAAAGAGTTTGTATTTGCATGTTTATAGAGAATTAATTCATATTTTGAGGATTTTGAAAATTTGATATTAATTAATGTTAAAGTTTCGAAAAAATAGGTTAGCTGCACGTAAAATTGAACTAAGTAATTCATTTGTAGCAAATAGCAGGGTAAAAAATGTTTACAAAAATAAAAAAAAATGTTTTTTTTTTGGTCAGCGTCAAAAAAATGTTGAATGTGTAAAACATTTTCAAACTAATACTGGACAGAGACGATAAAAGTAAAAAATACATACATATATTTAAATTTAGAATATCATCCCAACGCAAAACAAATTAGCAAGCCAATAGCAGAGCACCTACAATTCGAGGTTCAAATTTTGAAACTGGAATTCTAGCACGAACCGCATTTCATTTGACGCGGCGAACGCTGCACGTACCTAGGGTTGCCACTTGTTAAAATTAACGGTCATCCGATGTGGACGTATATACCTAATTACATTCCGTAGACGAAATCTAATATATTCTCGCTAATACACGGCAAATCGATGACTGACCAATTCATATTGGTTACTGCATTGATTCGTGGTAGGACGTTATAATTAGAATCTTCTTAAGATTTTTATTTTTTTATGTTGATATACACACATAAGTTTTAAGTTTTAACCAAATTGGTATTAGCTACAGACTTAAATAATATATTAAATTGTGCTTTAAACTTGTTCTGTGAAGTTTTACATTGTATTTATTATTTAAAATCATAGACTACTGTGTAAAGTAATCATTGCTTGTCTTTGTTTGGTTTCGAATTTTGTAAAATATAATTTTTTCACATTAAAGTGAGCATTTAAACTGTCAAACACCAAGCGGTCACCGGTGACCGCAATCTATTGTTCTATAATTGTGTCTACAAAACCGGTACTCGACGAGTTAAAGTTTAATCCAACATAATTGTATCACCCCTAGTGTTGCCAAACCGTAGTTCATGCAAAATATTAGGATTCAAGTAATGCTTTATGCTAAATCCAGTTTAGTTTAAAAAGCCCAGTAACAGATAATCGTTTAAGTAAGTAGGAGTTAAAATATATGTAGCAAAAGTTGCCTTTTGTTTAATTCTTAAATGAAATTCCGAGATCAAATAAATTCATAGATTTTTAGTTGCGTATTATAAATAAGAAGAAATAGATAAAGTGCAACAAGACTACTAAAATTCTTAATTTGCACATTGTGCATATAGGCAGGTTTTTTAATAACTTGTTATTTTATTAAAATTCTCCGTTAAAAACAGAAAATTTACTAAAAACCGAACACTAAAATAAATGACGGTAAAATAAACGCCACAAAAAAGAGGTTATTATTACAACAGAAATGAATCGTGTTTTATTTATTTATGAATGAATGAAATCTGGTAACCCTGACGCGTTCGAAAATTGAAATCCGAATTTTCGACCATGACGCCGACAAGCCTCATTGTGTTAGCTTTTGCCGCGTGTCAAGTTGGCAAATAAATTTTGTATTGTGTATTCACCATTAATTAGGAGGGGGTTGGGAATAGCTGGTGGTAGAATGGTGACGCTGTTTTGATCTCTTTGTAAGTCTGATATTTCATTATTGAGTATGAAATGCCTGTTAGGACATTTGGATCTCCAATTAAAGCATACCGCTTGTACTCGATGAGACTGTGATGACAATTGAGCCAGCAGCAAAGTCTTAGTGACAATAATTACAATTTGAAAAACGTAAATTTAAATGATGTGATTTCTGATCTCAAATTGCAACTTGCGAATGTTATTCACGTGTGTATTCAATTCGATCAACCAATGACCGGTCTATTTACTTATTATTTTTTTTTGTACAAAAATTATAACATCATTACAAGACAAAACTGCCCAATACCAACACAATGAATTCTGAGTTTTATTGTTCGTTAATAGAGTCGAAAACCCTTTGAATATGTTACTATTTGATATAGTTTGAATGATCGCGTCCACACAACATAGGTAATTAAAATAAAGATACACTTTATAATAACAATACACAGTTCATTGGCCAAATATAATTAATAAACTAAAACATTTAGTTATACGCTAATAACAATATAAACGACCACAGATCGTATTTAATATCGTATTTATGGCAACACTCTTCATAATAATTAATGCTGGCAATTTATTTAAACCTATTTCCGATAGCAGATGGCGCTGATTATTTCTATAGGTTACTGGTTGCTGATAACTAATGTAAATCATAATCATTATTTGCAAGTGCTGACAGTTTTGTGTGTGTGTGTGTATGTGTGTGTGAGGAGTATGTGTGGACTGGAGTGTCCATTACTGGAATTAGATGGCCAAATGTTTTGATGGAGGCTTGATATTTGGTAGGTAGTGGATAGTGGATAACAATTTTGATTCAATGCAAAGAGAGCATGTTGCATGTCGTGGTGGCCTGGAGGTTTAAGAGGCCCGCTTCTCATGCATGAGGGTGCCGGTTCGAAACCTACCAACGGCAAGCACCAATGTAACTTTTCCGAGTTATATGTACTTTCTAAGATTATTTGGACGCCACTGAAAAACCGTGAAGGAAAACATTGTGAGGAAACCTGGGCTTATAATTTCTAACTATAAGTCGGAAATCACCAACTCCCATTCTGCAAGCGTGGTGATTAATGCTTAACCTTCTCCCTGTGAGAAGAGGCCTTTGCTCAACAATGGACATTTATAGGCTGTTGTTGATGACGATGATGATACAAAGAGAGAAAGTTTAGAAATAAAAGACTGCAATTAATTATCGAGTCGTAGTAGAATGTCGTCAAAGTACAATGATTTGGTTTGTACTGCGTCATTTCATTTATCATTACACCATGATTAAGGCTTTGACCGCCAATGAAAAACTGTTGATCGCAAATCCTCCGCTAACGTCGGTCACCGGCGACTCCCATTGCATTTAACGCGTTTATCGAAAATTGTTTCTTAAGTTAAGGTACTATTACACATATTTAAATAGCATGCTTAAAGCTCAAAAATATTTAAAATTCGAATGCCTGCCGATTTGCAAGCATGCTCGAAATAAGCATACTAATTTTGAGCAACATTCACACACAAATGCTACTAAGTGACAAGAGCTTCTCGAATTACTTCTCCCGCTTGATTGAGGCGGGATGGAGTGTCAGACTCTTACTGACTAAAAACCACCCCGTTCCTTCTCCTGCACTTTGAGCCGGAGCCCCAGTAACCCGTTCGGTTCTCCGCGACTCCATGCTTGACATTAACATGTGCAACAGTGCCTTTAAGGCAGCGTTTATTTTATACAGTTTTGCATTTAATTGATCCTTTTTTTTTAATTTTTACTAAAACGAAATACGAGACAAGAAAATACTATCACATCATGTTAACTCTCCATAAACAATTACTCCATGGCTTTCTATATCAAAACAGATTTGAAAGCAATACTAATTGTAAACGTGACTGATTTGTAATTACATGGCTAACAAATTAGGTATCGAGTGTCAAAAGTTCAGATGAATGGGTGACTGTTAGCGATTTATTTAATTACAGTTTGTTAAAGTGAATTATTAACAGGTGGCTGCTAATTACAAATTACACCTACATAGGATTAGATTGATGACAGATTTTCAGCTCTGGAAGTTGGTAGTTTTTTTTTAATGGCATAAGCCGGTAAACGAGCATACGCATCACTAGATGGTAAGCAATCGGCGTCGCCCATGGACACTTGGAACACCAGAGGTGTTACAAGTGCATTACCGGCCTTTTGGGGATTAGGAATTTGAGGATCGTTGAGGATTCAGAGACTGGGGAGATTGGGGAAGGGGAGGGTAATTGAGCCTCCGGTAACCTCACTCACACGACGAAACACAGCTCAAGCGTTGCTTAAAGAAAATGGGAAGACGACTTTCGCTTAGTCTTGGGACCTTTCTGGATCAGAGTAGTAATAGACAGAGTGCAATGGAAGCAGCTGGAGGAGGCCTATGTCAAAAGAGACACCGACCTGAGGGACATTTTATAAAAAATATGCTTTCAAACATCTATCATCTATACATATAAAACTATAGAAGTGTAAACTGTGTACATACATTATTTTTAATTATATAAAGCTCAGCGCATGGATTCGACGCGTTACGTGTCGCTGTTGCCAATAAATTAATTTGTATTCTACAATTTATAAATAGGTACAGACTTACACGTGCTCTAGAAGTCTGATCTAGATTTTCATTATATTTTTTAATACTATTTTTTGTCTCATTGCGGTTTTCTTGATTATCGCGTATTGTGGTTCTTGATTTTACACTTATTCCTTTTTATTAATTGAATAAATGATATAAAATAATTTCCTTTAGTCTCTGTATAATTATCACAGGTTTACGTGAAGTTTTCTTTTAAATCTTTCTTATAAATCTGAGAAAAAGAATACCACGTTCTAATATGTATATCGGTATAGAAGACTCTAAAATATTTCTTATATATACATTTTAAACTTTAGCTTCAACCCCCTCTATTTTTGAAGTCGGTTAATTAATACGCTAAAACCTTCTCCTAACTATAATAACCACTTTTCTGAATACCGCATCAAAAACAGTTCAGCCAATTGCGAGATCATTTCGCACAAACATACACATATGTATATATAAACATATAAACATATGTACACACACACAGATAAAACTGAGAACCACCTTTGTTTTTGAAGTCATTTAAAATCTTTTTTTTAATCAATAAAACTAACAACACCTTTCTTTTGTTTCAGATGTTGTACCAATTAAAATCGACACGTAAATTGTTGTTGATAAGTTCGTAAATTGTTTGTCAAATGATGTCGATTGTGAGTGATAGTGATGTGATGAGTTGATGTGATAGTGTCCACCATGCTGCCGGCGTTGTGTCGGTTGCTGGTCACGGCGGCAGCTCTCGGCGCCACTCTAATGGCTATGGCGGCTAAAAATGGTAAGTTTACTATAAAAAATTTATTTATCAATCAATAATTTAACAACCAAGTGCGGTTCATTCAAAAATTTTACGAGGTAACTCGATTCGTTTCAAACGACGCTTGGGGTTCATATTTGTGAGCATCATATGCGATTTAAGCATTATGTGATGTCGCTAATTGTCAACTTTTATGTGTTATAGAATAATAATAATTATGTATAATGATTCTAAATTTATGTTACTGTTGGACATCTTTTCTCATTAATAAATGAATATTAACTACTTGTAATAATTAGAACTTCTCATGAACATGACTAAAAGTAATAAGTACAAGATAAGACTATTAAAGTTTATCTTGTTACTATCACTTTTAAAAAGGCATAAATTTATATCACAGTATATAAGCAACAAAATCCTACTAAATACGTTTCCAGCTATAAAACAAGAGCTTTATTGACAAGGCTATCATTCAAATCAATTGCAGATAAACCCGTCGCTTCTAATAGCAATCAGATGTACGCCAGCGTAAACTGTAGCCTGTCAACGACAAGGAACTTAGACAAAAACCGGCTACGGACGTCATTCGCATCACCCACTTAATGGTCCCAACGATAAACAGACATACAGAACCAATGTTTTGTAGACCATTTCACACATATACCCCCAAAGCTGATACCAATCGAAAATTAACTCTCTGACTTTTGTATACAGTTGGTTTTTGTATAGAATGGTGTTGTTGTGAATTTTCTACCCTGTTCTCTATAAAATCTTGCTTCGATGAGAGCTCTTTAATTTTGGTCTTGGATTTGCAAAGTTTACGTCTCGAAGCGTTATGGTCGTCTGCAAAATGAAAAGGTTTTGTTTTATAGTTTCTCGATAAAGTTCGTGTTCTCTCGTTGCTTGAGACGAACGGTTTTGTGAATGTGTGAAAATAAAAACGATAGGTGTTGCCACATCACGCTTGAATTTCCTTGAAAGGATGTGTAAAATACATATAGATGGCAATAATAATAATAATTATGATAAGAAGGCTGGCTTTAGGCCGATGGATTAAGCACTTGATACAGTAGGCAGTTTTCCTAGGGACGGCACGTATCGTGAGATGTCTGTCTTTGGAGCCTACACCTACACCGGTAGTTTGGACCATGCTCCAGCTACTGGTCGGCTCCGATTTCATATATTTCTTTTTGGTTTTGGTAATTAGTATTTAAAAATGTAACTTATAGAGAAATTTTAATCTAAATGAAATGTAAATTTGACAACACGATTGGTGCGGTGGCTGGGCAACCGGTTGCTACGTAACGTGTCGTCGGTTCGATTCCCGCACGGAGCAAATCTTTGTGTGATCCACAAAATGTTGTTCCGGGTCTGGGTGTCATGTGTATGCGAACTTGTATACCCACGATACAGGAAAAAATCCTAGTGTGGGGCAACGTTTACAAAAAAACAAAGATATAGGAAATTATGATGACACGTCATGACACTGCAGTTACAACCAAATAAAGAATCAAAGTCACTTTTTCCCTTTCTTAGACCATAGGTTTATTATCTACTTTCAACGTGAATAAATAATTATACATAACATAACATCACGCCTTTTATCCCCGAAGGGGTAGGCAGAGGCGCACGTTATGCCACTGTAGGTACAATGTAACACTCACTTTTCACTATTTATGTTATGAATCCCATGTAATAGGGGGGTGAGCCTATTGCCATATACCGGGCACAATTCCAGACTCCGTGCTACTACTGAGAATTTATAAAAACCCAGTAATACTTTGCCCGACCCGGGAATCGAACCCGAGACCCCTTGCCCGGCAGTCGCACTTGCATCCACTCGGCCAAAGAGGCAGTCTATATAATTATAACTGGGTCATTTAATAGGAGTCCTAATATAACTAGCAAAAACACGGTACACGTGCATATGTGAATGCATTAGTGTTATCTTTTTGGGGAATAAAAGTCGTAGTACTATGATGTGGAGTAAACTTTATAATTTCAAACTGTTTTTAGTTTGTTAGTGAAAACACCGTGGCTACTAACTTTTTTGCCACCCAACTCAGGTAGGTACCATTCCAACTAGCATTCAGCATATTAAACTAACACTAATCTATTGAACTTTTTAATACAGTTTGAACTTTAATTGATATGAAATAAAATACAAAATCTATTGACTTTTATGAGTTACTTGATGAGCTGGTCTCTGAACTTAGAGAGATAATAGTTTGACTCTTTTTTACTGCTGAAACCTTTTATTCATAATTGCTATTATATTTAAAAACTGCTCTCATTTTTGGCTTTTATCCAAAGTTGAACATAAAGGAAGTAGGTACTTTGTAATGAGTATAACATTTGCACATTTTTGCACTTTTCATTTTATACGTTAAAATGTTTGAAAGTTGGAGTGTCTAAGGCTAGTTTCAGAGTGAATTGAAACATCTTTGCACTTAAAAGTAATACGTTTAGTTTGATTATTATCAACAAAATGTAGAAGGAGGTTGATGATCACTTTGACTAGATTTTAGTGTTACATTGTTCTCGCACAATTCAAACAGCAAACTATATAACTAGAGAATGGTATTGTGAACCTGATTGAGAAAGAGCAACCTATGGAGTTTCTTGCTCGTTCTTCTCCATAGGAATCTACACCTTGGAATGGGCAAATAGCTTCACTTTTAATTTTATTTTTGACGTTCAAAAATGCCTTTCTGGTTTAATTGAAATAAATGATTTTGCGGACTTTGACTTTGATGGTAATCTAATTGAAGCGTATGTGATAAAATATGTTTGAACTAGCTGAGTTCGCGACTTCGTCCGCGTGGAACAGTGATTCACAGTTCACAGATAGTTGATAGGATGATATATGTAGCCTATTTATTGACCCGACCTGTTAGTAATATTTATGTAAAATTGGAAATAAATCCATACAGCACTTTTTGAGCTCATCCCGGACATACATACAGACAAATAGACAAAAATTCTAAAAACTATATTTTTGGTGTCGGTATGTATTCGACTGTAGACCACAACCAAAGCATTCTTTTGAAAAAGTATTCTATGTATAGTTTTCACTTTCCTACGATTTTATTATATGTATAGATAGATAATATAATATATGAAGAAAATAAATATAATGAGATCATAAGTTGTCTTTTGTTACTGCGGAGCTCTCAAATACAAAGATGTAAATTTATTTAACATAGCATGTAATTTTTTCATTAAATTATATCAAAATTCTAGTATTGTTTAGCATTTTAGATATGTTTTTTGTCTGTTTCTAACGAATAACATTCAGAATATTACATTTACTAAAATAATGGGCGTAAATACTAAAACAATATCAGAACAACTAGTTTCAAATATATGAATGAAATATTATCTTAGTTTGGTTATTGTCCAACATTATTTTGATATATTACGTTTTGTCAAACACTGAAAATTTATAATTAAATTAGAGGGGCTTTGGAAAGTTTCTTAGCTATATTTGGTAGACAAAATAATATAGTAACTAAATAATAAATAACTTGGTTGTAAGATATTATTTGAAAAAACATGTGGACAAACAATTGCGAATTGATTTTTTCAATTTAAATTGTGAATTGGGAAAGCAACAATTTCGAACAACGTATGATTGTACATAC